TTTTTTTTCTGTAGTATAGCATAGTTCTTTAGTGAAAATAAAGTAAGTAATCGTAGTTGAAAAGCATGTTTTTGAAATAAAAAATGGATCTCGATTATAAGAAGCATATCTTTCGTTGCGTATTTACTGAACTGGGTAATGTCTGAGCCTTTTTGGAATTAAATTACATATTGAATACAATTTTTAATGTAATTACAATATGTAATATAAATATACACAAGAACCCGCAGAGAAATATACAGTCGGTCCCATAATTATTCGTACCCTCTATGTCTATCGAAGAAATTTGTTTAAATTAAATGGTAGGTTCGACGTTTACAAGTGTATGTTTGTATAATTATACACATGTATAAGGTCATTCATATACATATTTATAATAAAAAATTCACTTGGTAATATCGAAACTATTATTTAATTTAGTCAAACCTCTTCAATCGACATAAGGGGTATATGTATGGGATTGAATGTAGAGTACGAAAAAGAAACGACATATTCTCTCGAGATCGTCGGTCAGCTCGAACAACGACGAGGTATCCTAGCCCAAGGAAGAAACGTTTTTCGCGACGATGGCGGAAGCGTCGAGTGTAGCCGGCGGAACGACTACAAAAGACTTAAGAAGCTTTGGTAGAGCGGGCTCGAGATAAATAACGGTTATGACTGCGCATTGTCCTCCCTCCTCCTTTATTTGTTCGCCTCTCGAACGCCCGTGTTCTGGCATCGATGGCGATAGTAATACGCGTTTAAGTAGAAATTGATTCCGTCAGCCGCGAAAAATTGAAAAAACGAAGCCTCCCCTTTCAGGAGGAGTTTCTCGAGGCGTCTCGCGATCGGCAAAATCCGGCATTTCGAGGCTCGAACGCGATACTTTCGTGATCGAATCGGGAATCACCGCGAGAGAAGTCGCCCAGCCGTTTTCTGGATATCCAGCTTTGCGACGTACCGTCGCTAGGCATTACGAAGGATTCAGCTGCGTATGCGTTTCATTGGAAATGGGATTAGGGGACTCCCGGCTAATAACCGTGACGTAAACCGAAACGACGAGTTTCGACTCTATCTTTCGCGTTACGTGGCCAGCTCTGACGTCGACGTGACGTACGACTCGGGGCTACAATCGATACTCTTTCCGATCGACTCCTCGTAGGCAGGTCCAAGCAGATTTCCTATCTAGGTTCGAACAAAACGCTATGGTATTTAAGAAAAATGAACAAGTAAATAGAGCACCCTCTATGTCTATTATAAACATTTGACCAAAGTATATTTTAATAACTATTGATGATACGAAAACATTGTTTATATATAAATTGAAGATGCAATGGGCCCTATATTGTGGCGTAAACGAAATTTTGTTTAAATTATTAATTCAAAAGATATAGACGTACGAATGGAAGCATATAAGCAAACGTGAAGTAACGAAGAGAATTATAGAGGCAAATGCGATGTAACGCAAAGAAAACACTCTTATAATATCTTATAATATTCTAAATATTAAATAGTATTTAGACGCACCACAGTAGCTGCAATTAACGAACTAGTCATGTTTCAATCCACGTATAAAGAATAATGAAGTAAATAAACATGAAAAGAAAATGCAGCGGCAGGATCTAACGAATGTAATTTAAAGAACAAGCGCATTTCCCCGATAAATAAATTGTTATCGCGACGAGGAACGTCTCTGCGAGGAGAAACAAGTCCGTAGAGAGGAGAATGGCGACGAAGGAATGCGGACATTCGCGAAACAAGCGCAGGTCCTCATAGTGGCTCGGCGTATCTCGCTTGAGGGACCGTGCAAACGCGCTCTACTGCACACCACTCTGGGAAACTTTTTATCGGTGCCACGGCTCCTTAACCGTGGGACCGCCTCTTAAACGCGAAATCTCTGGGAAACTCGAAGAATCGTTATTTCTTTTTCGTCCGCCTCCGACGCCCCCTCCGAGCTCGGGACGCTCCGTCGTCAACGAGCGTCTACCGCGCGATTAAAGCTTCGATCGCTAACGCGAAGTTTTTGCAATCTAGTCGCGCGCAGACGCTCTTCCCTCTTTGTAACTTCTCCCGTCCTCATCTTCGCGGCGATCGCCGCCTTTGTTCCTGGTTTTTTGTTAGCGTAATTGGTAGGGACAGATCGTCCAGCGCGAGATAAAACAGACAAAACAGGGGAGGAAATTAACGGAGACGATTGCGTCACGGTAGTTTCCGGCGGGCGTCGAGCGTGTTACGATCCCGAGGAAAAGAAAGACGAGGGACACCGAAGTTCCCCATTTTTGCGTGGCAAAAATTCACATCTCATTCGTCGCAGCCGCGATGGGATCCCGACAATCGGACAACCGACGCGAACTTAAAACAGAACTTTGACATCGTGTACAGTCGGAATTCAATTAGGGCTCGGAGAGCACGCATCAGAACTCGATTAGAACTCCGCGTGGACTCGAGCAGATGTTGTGTAAACTTTAGAACTCGGGGTGCCTTTAACCCTCTGTTATACTATCGCGTCGAGGCGTTTGAAGGGGTGCCCGATAGATACGGAGCTTTTGTTCAAAATCTATTTTAGATTGATTTTAGTTTGGGCGAGTATCGGGGCGAGCCTTTCACGGGAAATATAGAGAAAATAATAGAAGATAACCGCAGCACTTTTTTGTTAAGAGGGTTCTCAGGAGGAGACGCTGTTTGCCAGCGGAGCAAGATAGATCGAGCTTTTACGATGCGGAACAAATCGAGATCCTATCGAGTAGACCTCAGCGACGCTCTTAGCGTGTTTAAGAAATAAATGAAGACACCTTCGGCCAACAGAAGGGTGGCACGTTTTAAAATGATCGAGAAGAGGGAGCAACTCGTTAGTATCGACTTTATCCAGTTCTCCCATCAGGAAGACGAAGAATCGACAGCATTCCCACCGCGCAATTTTATTTTACTACCAAGAAGAGAACGTCTCTACCATCTTCGGCATCGGTCACACCCTCCCCCAAGTTTCGCAACCTCCGCGGTCAAGGACCCAAAAGACTACGACCATCACCGCTCCAACGCTGCCACGATGCGTTTCGAGTTACGTCTGATCCAAAGATTCGGCTAATATTTGGCCAGGAAAATTGGAAACGAACCGAGGTCTGCGCGAAACGAACTTGGGAACGGTAGCGGTCCTGAGGGACGAGGAGGACGCGAGTCTGTCGCGATCGATGCGATTTTCCTGCTTAATTTAGTAGATGGAAGAACCGTGGAACGCTTGTCTCCCCCCCCCCCCCTCCCCCCGGTTCGACTCTTTGGCGTGGGTGCGAACTCGATGATGAAATCGGCGAGATCCACGGACGTCTCGCGAGACAATCAATTCTCCGCGAGAAGCCACGCGTTTCTCGACGCGTTGGAAATTGAAGTGCACGTTGATACGACGCTGACGTCTTGACTGAAAACAAAAAGGAATTAACGCGAACTCGGTTTTCCTGGCTGGCGAGAAGTTGGAAGACAGGAATAGATGGATAGACGGATGGGACGAGAGGTGGATAGGCATCTAAATAGATGGAGAGACGGCTATCTAGATGGATAGATTGATGAATGGATAGGCTGATACGCTGATAAATTGATGGTCGGATTGATAGACGCGTATCTAGATAGAGAGGCAGCCAGGTATTTAAAAGGATAGGTGGGTAGATAGGTATTCAGATAGAGACTTGATAGACAGGTATCTAGATAGTTGGATAGATACTATGTATATAGACAGAAGTATAAACGAGTCGTCGATAAGTGTCGCAGGACTCCATGACGGTTATCGATCGAAGGAAGTGAAATTCAAGGAAATTAATCCTTCGAACTATTCGAACACAAAAGAATTCTGCCCACAGAATTAAAATGAGAATTTAGTGCTCGAAGGGCTCAATATTTACCGATTGGTTGCCATAAAATTTCCCAACAGACCTGTCTTAACGAACCCACTAAAATTAAAACTAATTTCTACCAAAGACGAGAGCACAACAACTCCTTAACTTTTATTTTAGCGCACGAGCATAGAATCATCTCTTACTTAGCCGTAGCAATGAGTACCAGCGATCTATAAAGAGTTAAAGAGCTAATCGAACCACCTGCGTCGAGTTCTTGGGAGGGAGTCAGCCTCGCGACACTTATCGACACCCCGTCCAAAATGGAAATTCTGCAGACGTAATCCTTCCGAAAGCCATTCCTTCGAGGTTATTTTCGCGCTTCTGAATTCCTGACCGGAGCCTGTCTGCTTCCGTCAGGCGACGTCGCGGCGGCAGAATTCCGTCGCGACGACGCGCGGACGGTGCTGTCGGGTTCCTGGGATGACGGAGTCGGGGAATCCCGCGTATTCGCGCGTACGTTTCCGCTCCGAGCGCGAAGAGAAACGACGCAGTCGAGCCTCGACGAATCCACGGACCGATTAAACGGGTCTGTCGCGGGAAGAAGCGAACGCCACCAGGGAAATCATGTTGCGTCGTACGAAGCCTTGTAACTTATTCCCGACTGTTCTCGAGATTCCGTCGCAGACGTAGGCGAAGAGGCCCCCCGCGGCCAGCAGTTTGCGTCACCTCGAGATTTCCGACGCGAGGGAAAATCGCGCGTCGCCCTTGTACCCTGAATTCCCGCGCCTTAACGGATCTCGGGGGGGAAATGCACCAGGGATAATTGGAGCACTGGCTGACGGACGTTAACTCCGAAAGACTTCCTCCAATCGCGGGAGGCCCGTTTTCCCGAGCTATTCGTCGAGCGATTGCTCGGGGAAACGATGCCAATTTTGTGATTAAACTCGCGAGCCCTGAACGAGGTTCCCCTGAGGAATTTTAAGACGCGGCATAAGCGACAGGAAATAGGGAACAGGTGTGATTGGAAAGGTAAGGACTCTCTTGCTTTTAGAAGGATGGATGGGTATCAATTTAGGTTATTTCCTCGGTGTTGAGGTTTGGGAGTTTGTTTAAATTGGGGTACGTTACAGTTCTAAGGATCATAGTGGGAGTTTAAGTCATCACTTTGTTGTTTTCGAAATTTTTTAGAAAGTACAGCACCTCAAAGTTAATGATTTTCACATATCTTCGAGAACAAAATCAACCAATTCATTTAGGCCGATCGCACACGGCGCAGCTGATTTGAAATTAGTGTTGCAAACCGTTTGCGCTCTTTATTTTACCTACTCCGCTATCTTTGTTTAACCTAGATCCACCGCCGCATGCAACTATGTAGTTTCAGAGTGGTTTGAAACCGATCGGTTGGGCCCATGTGCGATCGGCCTTAGAAATAGTCTCAAAGATCACTAGACAACAAATATCAAGTGGACTCGTTATTACCATCCACTTTTTCCACCTTTTCATGCCTTCTCATAGCCGTACCACAGTTTCACCCCTCCACTAAGAACCTCTAAACACTCACGTATCCTTTGCCTGACGCTCAGCCCTCAGCCCTTCATCCCTTGGCTCGCAACGCGCCATACCAATGAAGAATGGCGCAGAAAGGGAGAAAGGCCGCGCTGGTCTCAATAGCTTCGTCAAATAAGTCGGGGAACCGCACGTCCCGCTTATATTGGACGCTCCGTTGTGCCGTCTATTGTGTCTGTATCACGAGCAGAATGCAAACTTTTGTCGCCGCGCGTTTCCATTTTGTCGTCGAGCGATTCCGTGGTAAGAATCAACCGCAACCTATTTCTGCCTTTCTTCCATGTTCCCGGCAACATCCACGGCGCGGGATTCGATGCCACGCATCCACCTTGGCTGGAGGATATTGCGAGTTGTATGGCTTTCGGGGGGAAATTCTGCAAGCTGACTCTAGCGCCGAATTGCTTTTCGAACTGGAACGTTGTCGCATAAATATTAGTATGGTACTGTTGACACCTCCAGAGAATGGACCTGGGAGGAACGCGGGCTATTGGTAGCGACCGGATTTTTTACTATAGAATCCTAGTGTTTAACTTGTTAGCAAGGGGGAAGGGAGGATTATTTTTCGATGCTTTGGAACCTTTAATTCAAGTTACTTCTGCCATTATTTATTTCATTTTTTCCTCGTTAGATTGTCTGTGAAGATCGTCTAATTCGCAATAAAAACACGAGCCCATTTAAAATCAATCTACAATCAAGGATAGGGTGTTCGAAACCGAATCGAAAATGCAAAATAAAGTTCTCGATACAAGCCTTCGCTCTTGATCGAGTACCGGCCAACATGTCTGACCATTAACTACCATTTCCCCTTGAGTTGCTGTTTATCAAAACTTGAATACTAACGTTGTCGCGGTAGGCAAGCTTCTAATTACTCGAAACTGATTAAAACGGATGCTTCCATGCCACTGTTAACCCTGGTAAACACCGGCGCAAGTAGAATCAATCAGCGCTAGACCGACACGCTCGCCACGTCGATTTTCTCCTCAACGAAGGGTCTTATCGAAAACTTTTGTTTTACATTTTCGATTCGTTTTTACCGCTGGAAGTCACTCGGAGTCGTGGCGTGTTCGTCCTCGCCCACCCCGAGCAAACAATGTCATCCATTGGTGGATGTAACGTCTCGTCCTACTTCGACTCCTTCCTGATACACAACGACCGAGTCACGCGTACACAGTTACGTCACAGCTCCGTTGTCTCAAGTCTGTTTACATTGTCGCGGAAATGCAGTCCACGGGCGGAGTCGAGAAGCGTTCTCCTTAGCTAGAGCAACTCAGCGGGTCCATTCTCGACGGTTCCGAATAGCACTCGGTTTGTTTACTCTCGAGCAACATTGCGCGCTGGCTGATCTACTCTTTGCATACAAATTGGTATATCAACCGATTCCCTGGCAGTCTATATACATTGGATTTTATTGCCACACCTGGGAATTTCAGGGATCGTACTTGTATTTTTCATAGCTTTTAATTGGAGGTTTTATGCATCGACATCGGGCGAGGGAGTAGATTACTCACGTCAGGGTCAGGCAAACGAGACGTGAAACTTGAACTCACCTGAAACAAACGAAATAATTTCATTTTTAGTTAAATCGACAGTGGAGCGATTGTTTGTAATGCTTGTTTGGGTAGTGGAATACTTTGTGCAATAATTGGATCGAGGTCAATTAAGATCAATTAAAGTCAACTGGTGATATTTAAGTAGCTTAACGTATCTGAAAGCATCAGTCTCAGGGGATACGAACTATAAATATTTCTACGTTGTTAAATAGTTCACTATTTACGCAAAATTTATTCAAACGGATTCATTCATCTCTATTAAAAAAACAAATCTGTAACCCAGTAGTTTCTCGGTTAGAAATTAACGTCTAAAGTCAATATTCTTGAAAACTTGAAAGAAGTCTAACTTTGAGATCCCATGTTTTTTTTAATTACATAGAAGCTACAAAAGTGATAACTTAAACCATCCCTAATCTCCTCTGAGCTATCATATACATACGTACGTCAATGTCATCGAAATCTGTGCAAGTTCGAGACGATTCAAACGCACGGACACCTCGAGGCAAATTAAACTGCATTCCCCAGCCGTTGGAAGAAACTCTTGTGACATCGTCTTCGGCTCGGATTGCGTATTACCCATAGGGGTGTGCGTAATAGCCCCGGTGGGAGCAGGGAAACTAACGTCATCAGTCTCCATCGGGACGGTTGCAAAAATAAACGGTAACAAAAATAAACAACGGCGTCGTCTGTCAGGACGCGACGCCTCGAGCAACGGTAATTACCATAAATTACAATAATTCGTTACGGCGGACCGTGGCGTTATTATAATGTTAAATCGGTCGGTGAATCGGACCGCCCACGCGTTCGCTTCTATGAACTCAGAGACCACGGGCCGGGAGGGAAGAGGCAGATTTCCAAAAGGCTCTCGATAACGTCGATCAAGGCAACGTCCATCGAACCGTGGACTTTCGAGGCGATCTCTTGGAATTCAGCCCGTCTATCGGACAGGTATCTGCATAAATCACCTTCACAATGAAAATAGTCGATCGTTCGTTTCTTTTTGGCGAACGATATCGCGTTACCGGCCACGAATGCGTTTAAGATACATAGTTGTTTCGAGATAGTCATGCGTTGAATACGCGAGGGGAAAAATTTCTTTTATGAATTCAAGGCTTTTCTAGTAGTTAACGCCAGGTTTGCGGGCCACGATCATTTTTACCCATTTCGAATTTCACGAGGAATAAAGGACCAAGCATAGATACAAACTACTTCGGTAATAGACACAAACGTGATCCAAAAATTGTTAGAAAGTCAAATAAAAACAAACGATGCAGCGAGGATATTCCAAGTCTCTGTAAATCATAAGGATTGAATTCTGAAATATATTCTACATGAAACTACCAAGGTACAGATAGTCTTCGATTGGAATTTTTCATTTTTGATTAATTTCCGGCGTCTATCACTCGAAATAATGGATAATAAATTGGAAAATAAAGGGGTCCCGGGATCGAAACGTGAAAATCGAACGGCCACGCGAGTCAGAGAGACGAGGGGCCGGGAAGTGACGAGGATAAATCTTCGCGTCGGCCATTCGAGGCTCGGGAATTGCAAGGGAACGCGTATAATCGAACTGCCAATGTCCCGTGCCCGGGAACGCGGACTCGATCAATTAAAATAACAATATGCTCAATGGACCGCTTTGCATATAAATTAAAGGGGACATTGTTCGCCTGTATCGGCACTTTTCGCGGTTACCACCCTTCCTCCGCGGCCCTCCGTCCGGAATCCCCTCGTTTCGAGGACTGTTACGCGTAGCGGAATCCGAACCGAGTCGGACATGTCGATCTGAATGGTAACGAGGGGAAGTTGAACGAAGAATAAAAAAAATAATTGGAGAAAAAAAGGGGTCCAGCCAAATTTATCCGAGTTTCGTCGACAGAACCGACCGTATATCCGCGGTTTAATGGCAAATTTTCTACGCGCGACCTTTTTCCCTCCATTGCTCGCTCGCCGAATTCTATTTTCGTTACATTTCCATAGTGTTCGTGTTTTGCGCGGACCTTTACGCGACATTGTTCCGAATCGATTTTATCGAGACTCTAGTTGACTGGTTTGAGAGGGGTGTGTGTGTGTGTGTGTGTGTGTGTGTGAAATTCAATGGAATTTTTGTGATTAGAATTGGATGGAGCGGACTGGTGCGCGGTCTCAATTCTTGCGTGAATATATACGAGTATATACGACTCGTACTTTGATGGAATGTATTATAGAATAGAAGTGAAATATTTTGGAAAATATTAGAAATATATTTTAGATGTATTCTAATAAATATTCGTATCCTCTACGACTTTCAAAGAAGTTCGACTAAATTAAACAACAGTTTCGATATTACCGAATGAATGTTTCGTTATAAATGTGTAAATGAACAAGCTTATACATGTACACGTATATTTATATATACATCAACAGATTTGTATAACAATAGATGCAGAGGGTGCCAATATTTATGGGACTGACTGTATGTTCGATTGTACCCGAGCTAGGGGGCCGGTAGGCCCCAACAGATCACTACCATTCAAAGTAACGTACAGTAAGAATTGAACGAATTTAAAGAACGAAGTGCATCGTCGCGAAAAATTGCGATTCGTGATGGGAACTCGTGAACAGGGACAGAAAACGCTTCCGTGGTACGGGGGTGTTAAATTTCAAGCTAGGCAAAGCATACATTGCCCGAAGAGCGATGAGCCAATTCTCGCCGGAAGATCGACTGTCCCCGTTGTTTTCCACGATTCGAGCAAACCACCTCCCCTACACTTATGGGTCCCTTCTTCCGGTTGTCTCTCTTCCTCGACGCCGATCTAACGCAAATAGAAGCGTCTCCCGTCTATCTCGTTAAAAGTTACAGCGACGCGCGGCTACCCTTCTCAGGTGACCATTACTCTTGCTTCTTAGTTGGTAATTAACGATCCGAGGTAGACAAGATTCTTAGCTAGCCACGGATTTGTTCGATCGAAATTGCAATTGTATAAGAAAGACTCTTACATGTACAGTATTCCTTTTGGTTGGTTGTCGTTTCAACGAATGAGAAAGTGTATTTTAGATTTTTGACACAATTCTCTCCTGTAGCTATCGATTACGCGAAGTTATCAAGCTTAATTGCCGTTTAATTGCTCTCGAAAATCGAAAAAGCGACGGTGACGTTCGACGATTAATTCGCGCAGCGGGCATAATCGGTAACATTTTGAGGTTTGGCGACACGCGAGTTTCGCATAATCCGTCGCGTTGAATCTGTCGAATTTAGCGGGAACGTAAACAACAATACTGATTGTGCGTGGATTATGGTACGCAACTAACGGTAATTTGATATTTCGAGAAATTAATTACTATGGCAGATTTCCATTTGTATCGCGTTACACCATTAACTTTATTGCGATCATTTAACAAGAAATTGATTTCGTTTCTTGCATCGATAATTAATGCGCGATATGTGGATGTAACGTACAGAGTGATTAAAATTGTCATTTGCCAGACTACGTAGGATTTATTGCACTTATGCATTTGTGACATTCAATGATATAGAAAACATGCATAGAATATGCATAACGTATATTGAATATATTCTACAATTATAATAATGACATTATTATCTCACTTTGTATAAGTGCATATACTTTGTAGTCATGTTCAGCATGTGTTTATCGCATTACTTTACATCACAAATGCATAAAATGCGTAGTCTGATCAGAACATAGTTATACTTAGTGCCTCACTGAATGTTTGGAGCCCAGGATAAATTTCCGACGGTCCCTAAAAGCGACCTCGAGGCGGTCCATGGACGGTCGACTCTTCGTCTCGTGATCTGTCCCCGTCGACTCGTGGCTTTCCACTTTTTCCTCTGGGGAGTCTCTATCGGGGAATTTCCG